GTATTAGTTTAACCCATAATCAATATAGTAACTGACTCAAAGTCTGCTACACAGATGCTTTACAAACCACAAAAAATGTAATTCAAATCCACATGTCAAGAGATTTAACATTAAATTACAAATGTTACTTTTAACAAAGTTAAAATTATCTAACCACATGGCTTCTAGTTTGGGAGTTTTCAAAGAGAAACTGTTGATACACTGTGTGAATGTATGTATGTATTTATATATATATATATAAAAAGCAGTAATGCTCTAGGACTTTTACTGAGGAGTTACAAAAATATGTTCATCTGAAAAATATGCGCATCTACTTCAATGCAAAAATTAAAACATTTTTAAGTGTTGCACAAGCTTAATTGACTTCACACACTCTACAGTGTTACAAACAGAATAGTGCTGCTGTAATCATTTTAAACTGACAAATATGTATTCATACAGTACATATATACATACACTAGATAGTTGTGGGTATAACCATGATTTTCAATTATGGGTAATTGCAAATATATACCAACCTGGGAATCCACTACCTTGTGCATTTGAACTGTGGGAGGAATAATTTTCAAGGTGGTATTTCAATTCTCGGCAAAAAAGATTTCCAGCATGGAATTATCATTTCTGGAGGACAGTCCTAGAAATGACAACTTGGCATGATCAGTCACTGGGCAATTTGAAGTTGCTCATAGATATTAGTATCTGCGTATCTCTTATGTATACAGTACATACATTTATACAGACATAGCAGGCACACACAGAGACCGTATGCAAAAAAGCCCACAGGCAGAAAAAATATCTTTAACAAGTTATGTTCTTGAAGGAAAAATGGTTAATGAATATATACAGTATATAAAAATCAATTCAGTCAGTTTACAAAAAATATAATAAGTGAGTTCAATATCTTTTTATACATCAAAATCTAGATATCCTGAGATCGGTATGTACTTCCATCTAATTTACAAATGCTTGGTGTACTGCTGGAGTACAATTAGAAAAGCACGATGTGCAACTGTCAGTGAGCACATAGAGAGAAAACATTTCAGGCAATGTGTTAGTTTTAAGAACTATCCTGCAGGCATCATATTAAAACAACAATAGTGAAAATAAGCAAATATGCTGGCAGACACAAACCTGCCTAGCTGCAAAATTCACAAGTAAAGTATATGTGCATAAGTATACTACGACTTTAGATTTTAAAGCTTCTAATTTTGAAGCCAACCAATGATACTTTCCTATTTTGAACTATTGTTTAACCATTATGCAACAGGACAGGTACTCACATCTTCAGGTACTTGTCTTCTGATATATACAATACATCTAACAATGGATTAGCGATACAAAAACTGATGCCATTCACCTACCATTTTCTTTCAGTAAAAGCAGAACCATAAGGCATAATAAAAACTGATTGAATTTTCAAAATCTTATACTGTAGATGGGAGTCTAATAAATGAGGTTACTGATTGAAATATAATTATTATAGTTCCTAATGGAATTTAGTTTGTTGGTTTAGAGCCAAAACAATCAAAAGAATAGCTCTGGCAGCTCTTGACTGCACTAAGAAGTTAAACTGAAGCACTTGTGCTGAAAACCCAAAAAGGTTTGTCTAAATATACTAAAAAGTTGTCTCAGAGGGTGTGAAATTGAAGTTCTTTTTGCTGATCGCAAAAACACCTTAAATTTGTGTATATCTAATGCAAAAAACTATGTTTGACAACTACAAACTGGAATTAATTCACGAACTTACATTTGTACATTTAAAATCTAAAAGGACAACATAGTAAGTCTTATGATAATTTTTTAATTTATTCAGATCTTAATTTTGAGGAATAGACTAGATCAGTGCTCATTCCACAGAACCAGGACTTTTGAACACCCAATCACATATAGGTGGCAGTTATAGAAACTGTCCCATTCATTCCAGCTCTACCATAGAATAAAAGCATAATCTTCCTCTAGACATGAATGTTGTAATGGATTAACTATTTCATGGCTATTAACCTTTCCTTCTAGATTTTTAAATATTCTATATATCCTTCATAGAATGAAAACTGTAATTACTACTAAGGTGCAGTGGCAATTACATTTAAATAAATAGGTGTGTATATATAAAAAATTTCTTCGCAGATGTGTTTTAGTTCATTTGTATGAAAAAATAAGTTACACACACCAGTTGTCTTCCCCAAATTGCTGTAATATATTGCAGTACAAATAAGCTACATAACTGGTTGCAGAAGAAAAGATTTAACAATTCTTGAAAGTTACCACTTCTTGTCATTTGCAAGCATAAGAATTTATGAGAGGATAAACATGATGTGTGTGTGGTGAGAAACTATTTTTTAATCCTGTGTGTGTACATACCATGAGGGCTAAAGACATCCTTCAGTTATGAACATTTGTAAATATATAATTTAAGAGTAAGGCTTCTTCAGTGGCAATCAGAACTAATTGGGACTTAAATGCGTTAGGATGTGTGATTTATTTGGAAAATGGGCCAAGTGCGAGGATATGCAAATCGCAAGATGTCTGCAACTGATATGGTTAAGATTGGGATTTTCAAAAGGCAGCTAAGCACCCAATTCCCATAGAAATTTAACTGGAGTTGAGGCCTAAACCCTTTAGGTACCTTTGAAAACATTATCTAAATACCTATATTCATTTACAGCACAGGCCATTGGTTCTAAGAGTTGGAAGAGGCTTGCATAATGAACTTAAGAGAGTTGTATAAACTCTCAAAAATGTGTTTCTAGAGCAAGTAGAGCTGGGGCACTCATCCCTTTTTGTCTTCCCACCCCCATAGGTGTTTGGAGCATATAGTGTAAAAATAGATGCACAAACACAGGGCCAAAATCTTCAATGCCTATTTGGAGAAAACTCTAATCAAAGAGTTTGGTTCAGTGACTTTGTCTAATACCAATCTGACCTCAGTGTTTAATAAATATCTATTATCCTGTGCTTTCAAATGCAAACAAAAGCCAATCAAAACTTTTGGCATATTTACGCTCCTGCACTGTCAATGTGACTGAGTTAATATTCAAACATAGCGAGCAATAAAGTGGCGTCTCCTTATTTAGTCACTGATAATATGTGTTCATGTGGCAGATTTACTTCAATAGGGTATATCATGCAGCAATATCACTCTCACTCACCTGATAGCACTCTTGCCTCGAAATAAACATGTTATGTAATCAAGTCTCACAGGAAGACTTGGGCTCATAGTAAATGATGACACCCTCATACTAAACATGTGCTACACAGTTAGTGGTATCATCCCTGGCATGAGAAAATAGTGCATTCCATGTACTTCTTGTGTCCAGCCAAGCAGAAACTGAAGAGCTCTTGCAACTTTCTGAATCAAGTAGGGATTATCCTAGCCAATATTCCCTCTCACAGTAAAATATGCAAGCTGTGAGATACTCTGACTATAATAGGAATTATATGAAACCAAACCCCAGCCCTTTATTTTGTACAAGTGTTGGGTCATCCCAGAAAAATAACCTAGGTTTTCCTATTTCGTGTATATCTCATCATGAGAATAGAATTTTGTGTTGATCAAAATGCATCAGAAAGTCACAACTTCCAACAAGTATTAGAAGGGTGTAAACATACAGAATGGAAGGAAAATTGTGACTTATGAAACATTCAGTATAACATGTTTTTGTCACAGTTTAACAAATTTTTAATAGATTTTACATTTAAGCTTGGATCACTACTTAATTGGTATGAATATACACAAACACACACTGCAGCTATATGTGCGCACATATACTCCTGTGTGTATACAAAAACATTTACTTTGTTACCAAAATTAAGTTCTTTATAGCAAAATCAAGAATACTGAAGAAGGTAGGCATATTAATTTCTCCTCTGGAGAAAAGCAATAAACTCATTGTATATCCTACATAAAGAATGCTCTTTGCAAAGTACAACTCTGTATTGACAGATCAGCTATTTCTGTATGAGTTAGAGTTAATAAATGTGTTGAAAATTTATAAATAAGTAAATATAGATCTGCTAAATCTATGATGTAGAGGTTTTTGTGCCAAAGCATAACTATAACTATCTGTAGTACGGAAAATACATATACATTTAGATTATATATGCTACTCTCTAATATCTATCTATTACTAGTAGCAATATTTTAAAACATCATTTTTGCTTTAATGTGTATTAATGTGAAGGGTAATTCTGGTGCATTTATTTTCTCTAAAAACACTTTGGCCAGAAAACAATTAAATGTGAGTATATTTGTCATGGTCCGTCAACATTCTCAATATAGTCTGCAAATTAAATCCATTACATTATAAAGTTACCAATCTCCAAAACCAACAACTTCTACAACTGTAAAATGTAATTGACAAAATATTGTATATGCCGGTATAAAAATATTAAGCTTCAAAACTGTGCTTCATCTTTAAATACTCTAAAATGCAAAATATTCCAGTTTAAAGCTAGAAGTCTGCCTTTAGCTCAATGTACACTGCTTAGATATTATAGCATGTATAATACTGTACAAAGATATACACTACAGTTTGAAGACTCCTGAAATACAGAAGCACAACAAGGTATATTTAAGACAGCTTTTACAGGTCAAAGTCTGAACTTCTTTCTAATTATGGGTGGAAATCGGACCCATAATGTCAATTTTCTCTAACTGAAGTTTATTTTTCATTCTTATGGCAACTTCAAAAAGAGTAAAACAGCACCATCAATTCACTATGCAATGATAGGTTTCTTTAAACCCAGTACAACAATCTACCCTTAAGATATAGCTGAGTTTACTGTGTTGGAGCTAATTCTGTAAGTATTTATTCACATGAGTAGTCAGACTGAAGTCAATGGGACTACTTGTGAGATGAATTTTTACTTTTAATAAAAGGAGGACTTGTGGCACCTTAGAGACTAACAAATTTATTTGAGCATAAGCTTTCATGAGCTACAGCTCACTTCATCGGATGCATTCAGAAGTGAGCTGTAGCTTATGAAAGCTTATGCTCAAATAAATTTGTTAGTCTCTAAGGTGCCACAAGTCCTCCTTTTCTTTTTGCGAATACAGACTAACACGGCTGCTACTCTGAAAACTGTAACGAGAGTGATCACTTAAGGTGAGCTATTACCAGCAGGAGAGTGGGGGGGGAAAAAAACCTTTTGTAGTGATAATCAAGGTGGGCCATTTCCAGCAGTTGACAAGAACGTCTGAGGAACAGTGGGGGGTGAAGGGGGGGGGAATAGTTTTACTTTGTGTAATGACACATCCACTCCCAGTCTTTATTCAAGCCTAAGTTAATTGTATCCAGTTTGCAAATTAATTCCAATTCAACAGTCTCTCACTGGAGGCTGTTTTTGAAGTTTTTTTGTTGAAGAATTGCCACTTTTAGGTGTGTAATCGAGTGACCAGAGAGATTGAAGTGTTCTCCAACTGGTTTTTTAATGTTTAATTCTTGACGTCTGATTTGTGTCCATTTATTCTTTTATGTAGAGACTGTCCAGTTTGACCAATGTACATGGCAGAGGGGCATTGCTGGCACATATCGCATTGGTAGATGTGCAGGTGAACAAGCCTCTGATGGTGTGGCTGATGTGATTAGGCCCTATGATGATGTCCCCTGAATAGATATGTGGACACAGTTGGCAACGGGCTTTGTTGCAAGGATAGGTTCCTGGGTTAGTGGTTCTGTTGTGTGGTGTGTGGTTGCTGGTGAGTATTTGCTTCAGGTTGGGGGGCTGTCTGTAAGCAAGGACTGGCCTGTCTCCCAAGATCTGAGAGAGTGATGGGTCATCCTTCAGGATAGGTTGTAGATCCTTGGTGATGCATTGGAGAGGTTTTAGTTGGGGGCTGAAGATGATGGCTAGTGGTGTTCTGTTATTTTCTTTGTTGGGCCCCTCCTGTAGTAGGTGACTTCTGGGTACTCTTCTGGCTCTGTCAATCTGTTTCTTCACTTCAGCAGGTAGGTATTGTAGTTGTAAGAATGCTTGAGAGAGATCTTGTAGGTGTTTGTCTCTGTCTGAGGGGTTGGAGCCAATGCAGTTGTATCGTAGAGCTTGGCTGTAGACAATGGATTGTGTGGTGTGGTCTGGATGAAAGCTGGAGGCATGTAGGTAGGAATAGCAGTCAGTAGGTTTCCGGGATAGGGTGGTGTTTATGTGACCATCATTTGTTAGCCCTGTAATGTCCAGGAAGTGGATCTCTTGTGTGGACTGGACCAGGCTGAGGTTGATGGTGGGATGGAAATTGTTGAAATCATGGTGGAATTCCAATTAGAGTAGGGGCATTAGGAGACGAGAGCGGAGGAAGCGTTGTTCTAAGTCAGCCATAAAAATGTTGGCATACTGTGGGGCCATGCGGGTACCCATAGCAGTGCCGCTGATTTGAAGGTGTATATTGTCCCCAAATGTGAATTAGTTGTGGGTGAGGACAAAGTCACAAAGTTCAGCCACCGGTGTGCCGTGACATTATCGGGATACTGTTCCTGACGGCTTGTAGTCCATCTTTGTGTGGAATGTTGGTGCAGTGGGCTTCTACATCCATAGTGGCCAGGATGGTGTTTTTAGGAAGATCACCAATGGATTGTAGTTTCCTCAGGAAGTCAGTGGTGTCTCGAAGATAGCTGGGAGTGCTGGTAGCGTAGGGCCTGAGGAGGGAGTCTACATAGCCAGACAATCCTGCTGTCAGGGTGCCAATGCCTGAGATGATGGGGCGTCCAGGATTTCCAGGTTTATGGATCTTGGGTAGCAGATAGAATACCCCAGGTCAGAGTTCCAGGGGTGTGTCTGTGCAGATTTGTTCTTGTGCTTTTTCAGGGAGTTTCTTGAGCAAATGGTGTAGTTTCTTTTGGTAACCCTCAGTGGGATCAGAGGGTAATGGCTTGTAGAAAGTGGTGTTGGAGAGCTGCCTAGCAGCCTCTTGTTCATATTCCGACCTATTCATGATGACGACAGCACCTCCTTTGTCAGCCTTTTTGATTATGTCAGAGTTGTTTCTGAGGCTGTGGATGGCATTGTGTTCTGCACGGCTGAGGTTATGGGGCAAGTGATGCAGCTCTATGTATATAAATCTCCCCACTGTATTTTCCACTGAATGCATCCGATGAAGTGAGCTGTAGCTCACAAAAGCTTATGCTCAAATAAATTTGTTGGTCTCTTAGGTGCCACAAGTACTCCTTTTCTTTTTGGGAATACAGACTAACACGGCTGCTACTCTGAAACCTCTTATTTTTAATAGGCATTTACAGCATATACCAGAAGTGTTAATTTCCTTATTGCTAAAAATTAAGAAACTGTGATAAAATATTGGGAAAGAAGGGAATTAGCAGTGCACGGGACATCAAATGTGTCACGTGTCAAACTCTGGAGGATTTATTTTAGGCTTTTTCCTTTTTCAAGTTCATTCTGTGACCAAAGGAACAGCTTTTATCTGGTTCAGATGGAATGGGTTTGCCATTAGATATTTGCTTTCATGCTGCTGCCAATGCATAATGGGGTAATTTGCGTTGCTGAACTGGCCACATGAGATACAACCTGATTCCAGTGTAAAATGTCCAGGTAAAAACCCATAAAGTTTCTGTTTTATGGAAGGGAGACCATAGTGCATGGAGTCCAGAAATATTTTCTCCAGAAGTCAGTTGTCCAATGCTGACAGAAGAATATTAAGGACAGACACTTCTTTATCCTGAGTGAAGGGCCTCTATTTATCAATTCTCCAGGCACGTTCTACTAGAATGCCATTTAATTTTGCTGTACAGTCCAATGTCTTAAAAGATGTTACTCGGTTACTTCCTGAATAGTTCTTCATTCTTCCCCAGCAGGTGGTGGTGGCTGGCATAGTTTGTATAATCTGGCAAAATGAAAAAGAGCCATCATATTAGTCTGGGAGTACTATTATTATTAAAATGGTCTGATACAGGCAAAACAAACTAAATCTAACAAGGCTGATTCTCTTTTCACTGTAAATCAGGAGTAACTCCACTGAAGTCAATAGATTAATACTAACATAAAACTAGAGTGAAATTAGAATCAAGCACATAATGTACATGGTTCTTGTCAACATGAATCTCTGCTTATTCAAATGCACAAGTCTATAAATAATCAGACATCAGCAGCCAAGTAACACCTCAGTTATGGAGCCAAGTTTTCCTACTTCTGCACTCAAGGTCACATTCGGAGACAAGTCAACCACCTGATTGGTGGTATGATCATCTACACTGGAAAATTTTACTTGTTGACTAATACCGCTGAAGTTATATTTTGGTGATCCAGTTGCTACAAATGCAAGCTGCAAAGTCAGTCCTTTCTCTCCATCACTCAAACAAGCAGAAGCCAGTGACTTTTGTAACCTCAGCTCTACTTAGGACAGCTCTGCTCTCCAGTTTGCCTTGCCCTCTCAAGGACTGCAGTATATATGCACAGCAATTTGCAGACCAAATTCCTATTGGCCGCTCATCACATGTTTTATTAACTGTTTATTTTTTTCTCTATTTGTACATCTCCTACAAAATGCTCCCATGTGGTCTTGGGTTCCAGCAGACTAACACAGACAATAGATGCACCACAAGTGCATATGTCAGCCTTCAAATTTTGGAGAGAGAGACATTAACTGAAGTCAGACAGAGAAATTAAGGACTCAAGGTAACAGGTTCAATGCAAAAAGAGATCAATACAGTCTGAAATAGTTGTGTTGCCAGTGTTTGTCAGCTCCTCCATTTATGAAGACTCTGACACTTCTATTAAGTACTTCATCACAGGTTGACTTTTAACACATTTGTAAAGTTACCATCACATTAATACCAAAACTAAAGGACAATTATTCTGACTTGAGGCTCACTGTAGAGAGGACTTTTCTGTTCTCTGAGAAAGGGTAGGAGAATGTCCATCACTTTGCAGCATCTCCCCTCACACTGCAGCACTGTGACACAGTGCTAAGAATGATCTAATCTGGAGGCTACATAGTTCCTGAGAGAAAGTGCATCATTGCAGCAGGTAGAAAGAGATAAAAGGAAGAGACTAAGGAGTTTGGCAGGGCAGGGAGGAAGTGTGGCAGAATCCAAAATGAAGTGATCATTGCACATAAAGCAGATGTCAGGAGATTCTGGCTTTGCCAATGTCACAGAGTAAGAAATAAAAATATGTTTAATGGGTCTGAGTATTATGAAAGATGCTGATACCTACACTTTGTGGTTTTGTGGTACCTGAAATTTTGCAGGGAAGTTTGCAAACTTCCCAACCAAACTTCAAATATCTTTAGAATTAAAGAAGATTAGGATTGGAAGAGATCTCAAGAGGTCATCTAGTCCAACCCCCTGCTCAAAGCAGGATCAACCCCAGCTAAATCATCCCAGCCAGGGCTTTGTCAAGACGGACCTTAAAAACCTCTAAGGATGGAGATTCCACCACCTCCCTAGGTAACCCATTCCAGTGCTTCACCACCCTCCTAGTGAAATAGTGTTTCCTAATATCCAACCTAGACCTCCCCCACTGCCACTCGAGACCATTACTCCTTGTTCTGTCATCTGCCACCACTGAGAACAGCTGAGCTCCATCCTCTTTGGAACCCCCCTTCAGGCAGCTATCAAATTCCCCCTCACTCTTCTCTTCTGCAGACTAAATAACCCCAGTTCCTTCAGCCTCTCCTCATAAGTCATGTGCCCCAGCCCCCTAATCATTTTCATTGCCCTCAGCTGGACTTTTTCCAATTTGTCCACATCTTTTCTGTAGTGGGGGCCCCACAACTGGATGTAATACTCAAGATGTGGCCTCGCCAGTGCTGGAGAGAGGGGAATAATAACTTCCCTCGATCTGCTGGCAATGCTCCTACTAATGCAGCCAATATGCCATTAGCCTTTGTGGCAAGAAGGGTACACTGTTGACTCTTATCCACCTTCTCATCCACTGTAATCCCCGGGTCCTTTTCTGCAGAACTGCCACTTAGCCAGTCGGTCTCTAGCCTATAGAAGTGCATGCGATTCTTCCATCAAAGTGCAGGACTCTGCACTTGTCCTTGTGGAACCTCATCAGATTTCTTGTCTAGGTCACCCTGGACCCTATGCCTACTCTCCAGTGTATCTACCTCTCCCCCCAGCTTAGTGTCATCTGTGAACTTACTGAGGGTGCAATCCATCCCATCATTCAGATAATTAATGAAGTTGTTGAACAAAACCGGCTCCAGGACAGACCCCTGGGGCACTCCGCTTGATACTGGCTGCCAACTGGACACCGAGCTGTTGATCACTACCCGTTGAGCCTGACGATCTAGCCAGTTTTCTATCCACCTTACAGTCCATTCATCCAATCTATATTTTTTTTTAACTTGCTGGCAAGAATACTGTGGGAGACCGTATCAAAAGCTTTGCTAAATTCAAGATATCTCACATCCACCATTTTCTCTATATCCTCAGAGCCAGTTATCTCTTCATAGAAGGCAATCAGGTTGGTCGGGCATGACTTGCCCTTGGTGAATCCATGCTGACTGTTCCTGATCACCTTCCTCTCCTCCAAGTGCTTCAAAATGGATTCCTTGAGGACCTGCTCCATGATTTTTCCACAGACTGTGGTGAGGCTGACCAGTCTGTAGTTCCCTGGATTCTCCTTCTTCCCTTTTTAAAAGATGGGCACTATATTTGCCTTTTTCCAATCATTCAGGACCTCCCCCGATCGCCATGAATTTTCAAAGATAATGGCCAATGGCTGTGCAATCACGTCAGCCAACTCCCTCAGCATCCTCGGATGCACTAGATCCGGCCCCATGGACTTGTGCATGTCCAGCTTTTCTCAATCGTCTTTAACCTGTTCTTTCACCACTGAGGGCCGCTCACCTCCTCTCCATACTGTGCTGCCCAGAGCAGCAGTCTGGGAGCTGTCCTTGTCTGTGAAGACCAAGGCAAAAAGAGCATTGAGTACTTCAGCTTTTTCTACATCATCTGTCACTCGGTTGCCTCCCCCATTCAGTAAGGGTCCCACACTTTCCCTGACCTTCTTTTTGTTGCTAACATACCTGTAGAAATCCTTCTTTTTACCCTTCACATCCCTTGCTAGCTGCAACTCCAATTGTGCTTTGGCCTTCCTGATTACACCCCTGCATGCTCAAGCAATAATGATTACATTCAAATAAGTTAAGCATTTCATTGTTAATTTGTAATGTAACAAAAGCATAAATCTGGACAGGTGGCATGGCTGCATAAATGATTTGGGATCAGTGTTGAGCCTTTGCTTTCTGGGCAAATAAAAAACCAGTTCGTTACTGTAGGGTAGTCAGGGTGGATCCCGTTGTTAGTGCACATGTGCCTCATGCATGTGGGATCGAAGTCTTTGGAACAGAAGTGTCCATCAAGGCTGTGCTTGTGCTCCCACATGAGGGCATAAAAGGTGGAGCAGACATGAACCTCCCACAGTTCCATGGCAATTTGAAGCCCATTGTAGCTGAGGACTCTGAAAAGTTAGAATAGGAGGTGGGTTGTGGAAGCCACACTGACTACAACATCTCAAAGAACCAGTTACTGTGGGGTAAGTAACCATTCTTTATTCTTTGAGTACGTGTCTATGTGAACCCCACCGGAGGTGACTGCCAAGCAGTGTCCCCTCATGACGTGGGAATGAGTTAAACAGCTGGTTCAGGAATACTCTACCAAACTTGGTATCTGCTTTGGCAGCCAAGTCCAAAGCAAGTCTAATGCTTAACAAAAGTCAGTGGACTACTCCACATTACAGATTTCAGAAACTGGCACATTCCTGGAACAGGCAGAGGTTGTTGCTTGAGTTCCAGTGGAGAGCCTTTGTGTTTGGTGGGGACAGGTACACCAGTTAGCCAGTAACACAGCAAGATTCTGTGTTAGCCAATTTGATATTCTCTGATGAGATAGATGGCCTGACCTTTAGAATGGCCAGCTGTAACCAGAAATAAGTGAAGGGTAGTCTGAAGGGTTTTGTTCTGTCGATGTACTAAAGCCAGAGTCTGGGAATATCCAGAGTATGCAGCTTCTTCTCTCCCAGTGTAGAGCAGGGCTTTGGGAATAAGACAGGTACTCTTAATGAATGATTTAGATGAAACTCTGAGCCCACCTTAGGGATGAATTTCAGATGAGGCTCAGCACCACCATATCTCGGTGGAATGTCATGTAGGGAGGTTCAGCAATAAATGCTTGCAGCTCTCTCTGTCTTCTGGCTGAAGTGATAGCAACTAAGACAGTCTTCAGAGTGAGACTGTGTAAGAAGCATTCTGAAAGAGGTTCAAAGGGAGATTAGGAGCCTCACAAGCACTATACTGAGATACCAGGCAGAGGCAGGTTCTCTGATTAGTGAGCAAGTATGTAATAGCATATACTGAAGCATCAAGTATGAATCTCGGCCCTTTGCCAGGGTCAGACATGAGTATCGGTATCAGGTTCAGTTGTGGGTCTAATTTCTCCTGTGCTCTCTGGTTTTGTTAGAGGGCTCGGAAACCCTCTTCTTGGAGGAGCAGTGTTTCGAGTGCTCCTTCCAGGACTGTCCTCTCTGTTTGGAGCTATGATTGAGCTCCATCTGTCTGTGTCTCTTGACATCTCCTTTTTGTGTGGGCAGAAGTGCCAAAGGTATTGAAACCAAGGCTCCCAATGCTGAAACTACCAGCATGGTCAGCATCAGAGTTGCTGATGCCAACTTAGTTGGATTCCTTTTCAACATCTTTTCACTGCCCCATCCTGAGGCGTGAAGCCTGCTTTAGGGAGTACTGCCTGATGCTGTTTTTTCTGGCCCCGCTCTGGTAGTTGCCATCACCTCTGGGTCTGAAGCAACCTGCACAAGACTACTCTAGCAGATGTAGCTTGAGCTGGGGGGTCCCTGCATTTGTGGGTTCTTGCAGAGAGCGACTTACACAAAGCACTTATCTGGAATGTGGATCTCCCTGAAGTAGAAAAGGCATCAGCTGTGTCTGTCTTTGAAGGGAATCAGTGTGTTGCAAGACGGGCAGAGTTTGAACCTTGCCAGTTTAGCATCTGCCATTAGATGAGGCAGTTGGCATGAAGCATCTCACTCCACTGTACCAGATTTATGCAGGAGTATCTTTGATTTTCTTCCCCCCCCCACCCCCCCAAAAAAGTTTCAATCTGAGGAAAAGGGAATGTGAAAATAAAGTTTCTTCACAGAAGGTAGTTGTAAACCAAGGTGAAGTCTCTAAGGAGTCATGGGTTGGAAACTCGCTGGGTTCCGCCTTGCTGCCAGAAGCAGTAAGAGGGAACCGAGAGAGGGTTGTGTCTGCTCGGCCCTTTCTGTCCTTGGAAAGGAGCACAATGCAGCACAGGGCACTAACATGGAACTAACCAACACTGCTATTCAAAAGACTCTGATCTCACATGTTTGAGGTGCATGTGCACCCACAGTAGGATCCCTGCTGACACATATACTCGAAGCAGCTGCTCAGATACAATGCAGAGGAGATTAACTATCAATGAGTGATGCCTGGTTGCTCCATAAGTGATTTTTGTAAGGAACTCATGAAGTGGTCTGTTCTCCTGCTGGAGAAAAATTGGTGGAATCAGTTGCCAGAAAGAGGGGGCAAGCTGATGGTTCCTAAGAAGGAAGGGCTGGGGAATCCAGAGGATCCTGTATGGACTGGTTGGGAACGCAGAGACTTCCCCATGGTTAGACAGCCAAGGGGAGACAATGGCAATACATTCCACATTAAAAAACCTCTCATGCTTCAGATTATGTGGTATGAATTTTAACATTTCTATTTTTGGGGGAAACAAAGATAAAACTTGCTAACACAAAATGATATAAATCCAGGAGATATTTCACACTACTGGTTTTACTTCCAAAGCTTTTAACACTTGGGTAACAAACTCCCCACCTTTGTAACTTATCAAATTGTGGTCAATTTCATTTGAATTGTTTTGGAAATAAGCTCAAAAAAAGGAAAAGACACAGACAGACACACACACAGAGTTTTCTCTTTTGATTATTTTATTGATCAGAATCCTGAAGTCTCTCTCATATGTAGCTTTGTTGTTTGCCATTGTTTATGTTCATTTGCAAATACATCTCTCTTAAATATTGTATTGGTCCTTACTGGAATTTTAACACCTCAGTGGGTCTATTATCTGTTATCTACATATATTCCTGTTTATGTATCTATAGTATATCACTGTGTAATTATTATTCAACAACAGAGTATTAGATTTTAATCAAACTGAGAGACTGTAAACAATCAGGTAAACTTCAGAGTAAATTTTCAGAGTATTGCATGAAGTTTTAATTCTGCAACTAGTTTACTGTAATTGGAGTTGTGTGGTTTTAAACCCAAGTAATTCTCTGGATATTAAGAAGCCAAACTTTGTCCATAAGTACACAGTGAAGTCAATGTGAGCTGCATGCTTGTGACTGGGAAAATGATTAGGCAAAAACTAGACAAATCATGGTCTTGGTCACAAACAACTGATTCTACTATTTAGTTACCTTGGGACAGATTGTGGTGTTCGGTCCCTCACTCCTAAATTCTTGGCAGTGTTCTGCACTCTTGCTCCCTGCAAGAAAGAAAAAAAAAATTGCTTCAGATAGAACTAATGTAAGTTTTAGTGTACCTCCTGGGTGTATAATAGGCCCAGGATTAGATTTATCAATAAATAAACTTCATTATTGATGTCCTACGTAAATAATTCTTTTCTTTTGAATGCAACCAAGAAAAACACTTTCTAATAAAAGCTACTAAATATGATTTTATAAAGGTGCAAGAAAAGAGACACAGCTGTTCTGTTCTTTCAGCTAATAACTACTCTTTCACATAAAACATAAAAACAGATAAAACAAAGTTCTTCACAAAAAAAGTTTAACATTTAAGTTGTGAAGAAGCTAACAACTACACTACTCTCACACTGCTGATTCAGTTTGCCTGGCATTCCTCACTCTTCTGGAGTTTTCACTCTTGCACAATTCCTATCACAATCAGTGTGAGTTCTGAGTAAGTATTACCGGTTCCATCCCACACCCAAGAATCCTCCTTATGATCAACTGTTTGTTTACAGAGAAGGATGGCCTGTGCTTAAGGCATTAGATGAGGACATGGTAGATATGGGTTCTATTCTTGGCTCTGACACAATCTTCCTGTACAACCTTGGCTAAGTTACTTACTCTCTCTGTGTCTCAGTTCCCCATTCATAAGACAGGAATAATAGTGCTTTCCTACCTCACAGGGATATTGTGAGGATGAATTCATTTAAGCATGCAAGCTGCTCAAATACTATATTGATGAGCGACACAGAAAAGTGAACTTAATTAACAATGGAACTTAATTAACCTGACTTTCCAAAAACAGTCGGCAAACAATGGCATATCTACTAGACTCATTATTGCCAACCAAAGAGAATAGATCTAATAGACCTACTGTTAGGATACAGATATTCAGGCCTGTCTGCAAAGGCCTGTACTTTAAGAATTTAGGTGTATTCTTATCACTTGGCTAGTTCTAGAGGTATAAAAGAAAGAATCAAAATCACTGTCTGCTGGTGTAAGGGCCTTCTCTTACTGTGACAGTCTGAGGCCCTGTTCTTAGGCTAAGGCCTTTGGCTAAGCAGCAGAGGCAGCCATAAGCTAGGAAGCGAACAGTCACATCCTCACATTCCAAACTAGTCACATTGAAATAAGGTGCTATTGGGCTGTCAGGCACTATCAGGACAGGATTGTATTCCTATCACCTCCAGAGAAAGGGAAGTGCCTAGAAAATGTAAAAGGAAACTTAGTTTGATAGCATCCTGTCTGGCAAGAACTCACTTATCAATAGCTGGGATGTGAAATCCTCACTTCTGTATTGTTTTGTCATTATAGTTCCCACTTTGCTATTGTTTGTCTGTATAATCTCTGTCTGGTTCTGTGATTGTTTCTGTCTGCTGTATAATTAATTTTGCTGGGTGTAAACTAATTAAGGTGGTGGGATATAATTGGTTAGCTAATCATGTTACAATATGTTAGGATTGGTTAGTTAAATTTCAGTAGAATGATTGGTTAAGGTGTAGCTAAGAATAATACTATATAAATTAGGGGCAAACAGGAAGTAAGTTGGGATTCGAAAATAAGGAAAAAGGAACTTGTATTTAAGCTTGCTGGAAGTTCACCCCAATAAACATCGAATTGTTTGCACCTTCGGACTTCGGGTATTGTTGCTCTCTGTTCATGCGAGAAGGACCAGGGAAGTGGGAGAGTGAAGGAATAAGCTCTCTAACACCTACTATTGCCAATCTTTGTTTTCTAGTTTTTAGAGGAAGCAAAACCTATTCATTGTCTCTCTCTCTCTCTCTCTCTCTCCCAGGTCAAATGCAAAACAAAATGAAGACAACAAATAACTGCACAAGAAGGTATAAACAGATTAATCTCACAATAATTAAAGTGAGATAATATTAAATTTGTGTGGGATACAGGTAAAGCTATATCTAAAATAAAGACATATCTGTAGTGACAAACCGTGCAATGGTATGGCTCAACCATTGATTGGATTGAGTATTACAGTGAGTAAACAAATTGCATTTTGGCTAAAATTTGGTACCTCAGTCCACTACCACAATAAAATCCCCACGTTAGTACACAATAAAGGACTCAAACTAAAGCTGGAACAGACTAAATACCTGCAGGCAGCAGGTATTCACAATTAGAGTAAACAGACACATGCAACTTAAAAATCAGTGTTTTGTTATCTTATCTATTTTTTAAGTTTAATGGTACTGAAGAAAAAACAACCCCACACTTATCTACTTAAATAACTCTAAAACAACTATGAAAAATTAAATTCATGAAATGGTTCATAAATAGCATTGCTTTCATGTTTTATAAAGTACAATATATTCTGAGAAATCAAAAATATTGATTAAAGTTTTTAACGTTAGATATTGGCAAAACACACATCATTGGTACATCTAATTTGGAAAACCCTGATGCCAATATCTCTATGACACAGGTAACTCTACCATCATTCATAAACCACTTTGAGTTCTTTGACATGGGTATGTATATATCAAAGATAAATTGCTGATGGTCAAGATCCATGTGATTAATTTAACTGAATACCAGTGTATACATAAAAAGAAAAGGAGTACTTGTGGCACCTTAGAGACTAACCAATTTATTTGAGCATGAGCTTTCGTGAGCTACAGCTCACTTCATGAAGTGATGAAGTGAGCTGTAGCTCACGAAAGCTCATGCTCAAATAAATTGGTTAGTCTCTAAGGTGCCACAAGTACTCCTTTTCTTTTTGCGAATACAGACTAACACGGCTGTTCCTCTGAAACCTGTCAGTGTATACATAATATATATGAGAATATATTAACATTAATCATATGTAGATCTTGACTTTTAACACCGTAACTGCTTCTGAGGAAGAAAAATAACAAATTTTTATTTACATCACCCACTAGACAAATTAATCCTAATATCTAGCTAGCATAGTAAATCAAAAGTGTTGATTTCAAAGGATTCTGGCTTTATACATCCATCTAATATATTGTTTATCAGGAGAACAAATTAGACCTTACTTAAACCACCCCCACCAACAGACTCATTTTTTCTCCTGGGGGGTGGGAGGTGGGAATCAGGATTACTAATAATGTGATCCTTCATCTTCCATTTTAGTACATCTACATCACTTGTGAGTTTATTTTTTATTCAAGAAATAAATTTGCTTTTTTTTTCTGTACATCTAATATTTTTTAAACAATAACAATCTGCACGTTGAAATTGCTAGTCCCATATTGCAGTAACAGATAGCACAGTTAAAGGGCATTAGAACTCTTTGCTCTGTGAACCGATAGTGCCTGGGCACTCATGGAAGATGACCTTTAGCTTTGGATAGAGAAAGTTCAACCATCAGATCTGTAAATCAATTTATGAAGTGGTATTTCCATTGTCGTTAGAAAAAAAAAAAAAAAGAAAAGACAGGCCCACTCTGCCAGGACACTTACATAAGAACGGCCATACTGGGTCAGACCAAAGGTCCATCTAGCCCAGAATCCTGTCTTCCAACAGTGGCCAATGCCAAGTGCTTCAGAGGGCATGAACAGAACAGAAAATCATCAAGTGATCCATCCCCTGTCATCCACTCCCAGCTTCTGGCAATCAGAGGCTAGGGGACACTCATAGTATGGGGTTGCATCCCTAATCATCTTGGCTGACAGCTACTGATGGATCTATCCTCCCTGAACTTATCCAGTTCTTTTTTGAACCCAGTTCACAATACCCCCAGCAATGATTTTCACAGCTTGACACTTGTTTAAGGAGGGCAAAAAGTGACCATATTTTTGTGACGTTCTGTACCCCAAAGCAATACCCTGGCACTCCCATATTTACAAGGGTGATATAATTATGATATGTTTTATGCAAAGTATGCCTTGTAAGGTATCATTCTAAAAGTCTTGATCTGTTGAACGTTAATATCTCATTGGAATGTATGTGCTGTCATTGTATCTGAAGTTATGAATATTAACTATGTACCAGCATTTCAAATGTGTTTGCTCCTACAGTAACTCCCACAAGGTAGTTTATATCCAGTCTAGCCAGCACATTGTGAACAGACTATTTAAGCTAATGGCCCATCAATGAACACAATGGGCCATTTCAGAAGCTTATCCTCACCTGATGGACTTTTCTAGGGACATTCTAGCCAAAATATGGGTAATGACCCCTGCTATGACTCATCGAAGAATGCAAGGGCATGTGACTGGAACATATGATACTGGACTCCATCTTGTGCCTGTACTTTTACACTAACTGTGCCTGGGGTTTTTGTTTGGGACATGAAGTGTCATAGCAGAAGCTATAAAAGGGGAAGTGACATCATCACTTGGCCTCACTTCCCCCACAACTCAACACCTGGAAACACCATAGGAACAAAGTCTGAACTGGGGATGTGGTCCCAAGCTGAAGGGATTTCTAGCCCGTGTATGGAAGATTGATGGACTGTTTGTACCATCAGAGTGAGACACTGCTTGATTCAAATCCTGTCTAGTGTAAGGAACTTAGATTGTGATTTTTTTTTATTTCTTAGGTAACCAACTTTGGTCTGTACACTATTACTTACAATCACTTAGAATCTATTTTTCTGTAGTTAATAAATCTGTTTTATATTTTTTACCTAAAACAGTGTGTTGTTTGAAGTGCAAAGTGAAATCTGCTCAGGAACAGGGGCTGGTGAGTTGTCTTCTCCACACTAAGGAAGGGGCAAACTGAGTAAAAAACTTATACTGGTCAGGCTTCTGACCAGGGCTAGATGATACAGCTCTGGGGTCCTAGGCTAAGGAGCTGTGGGGGGTTGGCTGGAGCTCTCTATTGTTGGTTCATGAGTGGCGGGCAAAAGCACTCATGTAACTGCAATTGGGTGTGTCCATGCTTATGTATGGCTGTGCAAATGCAAGACCTGGAGAGGACTGCAGCTTATCACAGCCTTACAGTGTGAGAGGGGGCCCAGACTGGTATGCCAGAGGGCTCAGCTGTATCCCAGTTCCAGGTTGCACCTCAGGGAAGTCCGTCACAGTTTTGAAAAAAA